TCTGCACTATAGAGACTTCACTGTAATGCTTGTGAGTAAAGGAGTATACCTCTGGATTCTTACTGCTCTGTTTTACTGTAACTAATAGCCCCACGTACCAAATCTTGTACCTTTCCCCTTGAAAAGCAGTTTAGAAAGCTCTAAATGATGACAGAGCTTCTTTCTATGTTTTTCCTCCCAAGCAAACAAAATATTTTGTTTTCCTTGCAATAAAATGCTTTTGATTCATAACCCTAAACTGTCAGTGTTTGACGAGTCCAAAGCATATTTTTTTTCAGGATACAGAATGAAAATATTGAGCTGCTCTGACTGCTCTGGTCTTCATCAGGAGCATCGTAAAGAATGAACTTGCTCAATACAGGACATGTAGCCTAACTGTAATAGTGAGGAGGGAGGAATGGCACTTTTCTAAGGACAATTCTTGGGCCTAATTCAAACATGTTTTGCAAATGCTGGGAAAGCATTGCCCTGAAAGCCAGAAACTCAATTTTTCTGATGAGTGCTGGCTTCTTACCACTCTGCCAGCATCAGGCACGAACAATAGATATATTTCTCTTGAACTCATTCTCTGAGATGACTGTGAAAATAAACCATTTTCAGCTTAGCCTGAGATAATCCTTTGAAATGTTAGCCCAAATTAATGTTTTGGAGGCAATGGTGGGGTTTTGGGCAATGGTGACTTATAGCATGACCAATTTTGCCCCTAGTACAGGTGGTCATTAACATCTGGCCAAGGATGTTACGTGATGCTGGGTGGCATATTGTCCATTCACAGGAACATTCCTCTGAAAGAAACACCCCAGCACACATCAATTTGTTATTTGAATGAGGGAACAGGTTTTCCTTGCCCATCCTAGATTTTGCAGGATATGCCTGGGTGTGTTTACTTTTCTGGAATACAAGTATTGTATGCCCATGATTAGATGTGCAGACACACACACTCTGGTCACTGGTGACGTGCCCTTCCCAGTCCTGGCAGACACAGAGTTCTGGGATGTCATCAAGTACTGCAGTGCTGTCCCAGCTGCTGTTCAGGACATCTCTGTGTTTCCTCCATTCCCAGCTGATCCAGCTGCGCTCATGCTGGGACCTGTCCTGAGAAGTTATTCCCCCATGATGAAAAACATATCAAGAGGCCATGCTGCAGGTCTGGAAACATCTCCAGGCCTAAGCAGAGTATGGGACAAGCTACTCCAGCATAACCCTTTCCCTGACCTGCTCCCACCCTTGAGGCCTGCAGCCCAGAAAGGATCCCTTCTCCTCACATGCACTGTGGCTCTAGAGTCCTCCTCTGAAATTTCAGAGGCAGAACTGGGACTCCACTGCTGCCTGCTGGGGCAGGCTGGATTGCAGAGCCTTGGTGCAGTTTGGCGACAACAGCCCTCAACACAACACTTCTATGAGTGTACTAGAGACACAAAAGTGGATTTATATGTTTTCCTCCCTTTTTATATCCGGAAAGATTTTGTCTCCCGGATTTGTCACTTTGGGTTACTCTCCTTTAGATGGCACTGTTAGCACTTCCAAGAGATGACTGCTGGCCACTTGGCTGAACAGGGCTGAAACTGGGCCAGGACTGCCACTGTCACTGGGTTAACAAGCCAGAGCAGGTCAGGAGTGATGCAAACCAGGGCTCTGGAGATACTTGTTCTAAAAAGTCTTCCTGGTATCACTCCAGCTCCCGTTAGCCAGTTGTTCACTTTGGAATACCAGCACAGCACGAGGACTGTGTCGGCAAGACGAACATCTGACAACATTAAGGACAAACTTAATCTGCTCCTCTTCAGAATTAATTTGAAGCAGTTCCAAAAGTCAACAAGAGTCATGTGCATATATGAGGGTCTTAAGCTAATACATCTGCTAATTAAATAATGATTAAAAGCCATGCTCTGCACAGGTACTGCAATCATTACTTTTCATGCTTATGTCAGAACCACTGCTTTAATATTTTTTATGTCTACTGCCTCAGTTATCACCTGCTTCGATTGCCTAGGCTTTTCCCAAGGATAGAAAGTTGGTTTAAGTGGCATTTAATGGGTCTGTATTAAATACTGATACATATTGTGCACTTCTAGGTGCCAGTTAAAAGAATCTTGCCAATTACAAGCATTTTCAACTAAGGAAGAGATGATTCCAGGATACCATTCAGCAGTGGTCTGAAATAGTCAGAAAACAAATTAAAAAAAATTATAAGAAAATGGTCATGTAATCTTAAAGCACTCAAAGGAACTTCTGGTGTGGTCCAACACTCTTATTCTACACAGCTAAACATGTCTGTAGGACCACTTGCATTGGCGCTTTCCCCAGCTCTGGAAAGAGAGCAGAAACAACGTGAGCAAGACAAGTGAGTCACAGGCATGGGAAGACTCCTACTTGCTGTTTTTAAGACTCAGTCCTGTCCTCACTGCCTAGGAGCACATTTTACAACATAATTTACACCAAAATCTGAGAAAAATCTATGTTTTGAATATTATTTGGTTGTGATGTAAGGAAAGAGAGACATATTGGCCACAAATGACTATCAGCCCAAAAGAGGGTCCCTTGTACCAAAATAGGATTGGGCCCTTCGCTAAACAGGAGTGGAACTGCTAGCTGGACAAATCAACCCTAAACCTCTCTGGAATAAGGCTGAACCTTTTTATTGAATGAATGTTTTTCTTTTGCCATACTGCAGTTCCACTCAGACCTCAACCACTTTGCTGCAGGGTTTTCAGATACACCCAACTATTATTTTTATAATGTGAAAAGTTGGTTTCATGCTGCCCCAGCTCAAAGCCAGCCAACTCAATTTTGCTCAAGCTTTCAGACAATAATGCCACCTCAGAAAATGTCTACATATTGTATTTGCAAATGACACTCAAAAGCTTGTAAGCCTGTGTCTATGTCGCAAGACAAATGACTGCCCAGTTACACAACTCCTTGAGTAGTCCCAGATTGTCCCACTGTATGGAGGTTCTCAATTTAAGCAGTGAATTTAAGAGTGCAGCAGCTGTAGTGCTCCCTGGGAGTCTCAGACAAGACAGGCGAGTAACTCAAGCAGAAATTCAGGTATTTGATGCTTTAAATGGTCTTCATGAAGTGCTCACCTGCCTGCAGGCACCAAAAATGGAGCCTAAAGCAAACCATACTCCCAAAGGAGGTACCACATCTGCATGGATCTGAAACAAATCTACATCCAGTCCTGCCCAAACCTGAAGGCACTTGAATTCTACAGGTGTGTTATATTTCACCTCCAGCCACTAAGAGGAGCATTACTGCAATCCTCAGCTGGCCTGATAAATACAGAGGAGCTGGGAACAAGCTGTGCAGCTATGCTTGGCCAGGACTCAGAGACCATCGGAGTGGATGCTATTAAATAAAGACACCTGAGTTGTTCAATGCAGGACGCATTTTCAGGACAGATACAACGTGTACCAACAGCAGGACAGTCATCTCAAAGCTCAGTTGCAGCAGCTGTTCTCATTTAAAACATATCCAGAGGAAATGAAAGAGATATGCCCAAGATTCCAGAGTTCCTTCAGCAAATTGTGAATGAGGCATGTGATGAAAAATCTCTCCTCAGTGGACAATGCACAGACAAAGTTGAGCTGACAATGATCTGCCTTTTTTTATTTCCCTCTGATTTAAACAAGGATACTCCACAGCTAGCTAAAAACAAAAACAAACAAACAAAAACAACCCCACAAAAAACCCAAACGAAAACAAAAACAAAAAAAACCAAACCCACCCAAAAGTATTTAGAAATACCCAATAAGTCCTAAAATACACAAATGTCAAATATAGAGGGAAAAGATCTCCTGGGAAGGTATTTAAAATATTTAGGGCATTTTAAAAATTCCCTGTTTTTTCAGTTCATTTAACCTTCCCTGGCAAGATCAGCTCCTACTTAAGGAACAGTGTGAACCGTGGTTATTTATTCAAAGGTAACCTTTCCCACTATTATAAAAAGCCCCAAAACGAAATAAAGTATTTCAGGATTTTTAAGACTGACTGAATTTAGGTTTTATTTCCTTGCTTTTCCTTCTCTCATTTAACACAGAAAATTTATTCTTGTCTCTTCCAAAAGTAGACAAACAGGCAATCAAGGGTATTATCTGAACCTTGGGTCCTACTGCTGGTGATTGTCTGCCTATTTTACAAAGTAGCCAGGACACCAGCTTAACCTGGGATGTTATAAAATACATGGGCATGGTGTGAACCAGACCTGGGCTTCAGAGCCCAGCTACATTTCCTAGATCATTAAACAGCTTTTGAAACAAGCAATACCTTCAAGTCTTTCATGGTTATTTTGGTTGTCTTAACATTTTTTCATTTTGACTTGAGTGAATAAATTATGTTCTCTAATTACCAGAAATATTTTCTTTATTTTCTCTATACCTGCTGAGTGTCTACATGCTGAGGTAATGTTATCCCAACATCTTCAGGAGTTGGCAGCCCTGTAACAGGGACACCCTGCCCAATTCATGGTGAAGAGGAAGAGTAGATAATTATTGAGGGAAATAGTTTCAAATAGTTTCCTTCATCTAACAGCTTTGGTTGTCCACAGGTATTAATATCTCAGTTACACTTTCCATTCCAGCTCTAACAATCAGAGACTGGGGCTTCTAAGTTTCTGCATCTCCTTTACTCCTAAAATCCCCTGCTTGTGACAAATACTTCATTCAAAATTATTCCTTTTCCAAGTTCCTGAACTCTTTTTTCTAATATATGACATCAAACTTATCAGATTGGATGACATCACACCTTACACACAGTTTCTTTGGCCACCCAATCGCCAAGCTTGGTGTCTTAACAGAGGTGCCAGATTTCCTTTGTCATTCCAGTTTTCCTTTCTATAATTCTACGAAATTTAAATTCCCTTCTCATAATAATAATTGTAAAGAAATTACATGCTTTGGTCCCAAGAACAGATTTTCAGGGACTATGGAATAAATTTGGGCAAGTGACAGGTAAAAAGGCAAAGAATCTTTTTGATGGTAAGAAGCACCCATTGCACTTACCTGCCTGAAAAAGTACTGTGTTGTTATAGCAAAGACATCAAAGCCACAGCTGGCCCTTTTAAGCTCATTTTGGATATTGATTAATTGCCGAGACTGCTCCTCACACTTTTCCTTGAGTTTCTGAATGAACTGCTTCTCAGTGTCTCGCCCCTCTCCTGGTTTGGAGGAGAATCCATTCTTTGGGGTGGCTGGCCTTTGCTTGGGATGTCCTACAAAGGAGAGAAGAAAAGACCATTCAGGTCATTTAGTTTACATGTACAGACATGATATTTATGTGTTTCTATGGCATTTGGGACTCATCCCTACAAAAAAACAGAAGGTCTGTAGCGCTCACACAGAATTTTCAATCTTTAAAAAAAAAAACCCCAAAAACAAAACCAAAAAAACCCAGCAAACCAAACCAAAGAAAACCCCAAAAAACCCCAAACCAAACCAAAAAACCAAACCAAACAAAAGCACAGTGAAGCATGTTTCTTTAGGGGTAAAATCTCAAAGCTATTTAACAGTCATCTCACCTCAGGCTCTGAGACTGAAAGTCTTCTACCAGTTGAGGAGAGCTGTCCTAAGAGTGTATCACTGAGAACTGAGGTTGTTGGAGGAAGGAATCACCTCACCTCTGCTAGACATCTACAAGAACAGAGGTCTGCATCTGTGGTGCTGGACTCCTTTAAATGGGAGTGAGAGAAATGGGCACTTCCAGGTCAGGATTCACCTTGTCAGTGATGTGGAGAACAGCTAGGTGACATTTCTACTCTACACGTACTTTATTTGTTCACATGGACCCCCAGCTTGGTGACTCAACAGAAGTGCCAGATTTCCTTTGTCTTTACAGATTTCGTTTAGCCTCTACACAGGACCATGTGGGGCTGGAGTTGTCCCTCCCTGAATGCAAACAGAGCATGGATTGCTTGCCATTGGGATATCACTTTTTTATCTACAATACTGCAGTCTGCCTTGAGAGTTCGCCTTGCTCTCACCTTTATAATGTGTCTAAAATTGCAGCACTTACCAGATATGTGCTGAAGAGCCACCAAGTGCCACACAATGCACAAGAGTTACATCACTGGCTCTGTGTGGCTGCTCTCTAGCATCATCGATCACACCAGAATTACTACATGGTTTGCCTGCAGAATTAGGCCCAGACAGACTCTGGCTCCTCTGATGTGCTCCAAGTTGGCTTGAAGCAAGCCTGATGCTGTACAAACGTGTGAAAGAACTAGTGTAGCTTGTGTTTATGGTATGTATAAATACAGTGTTATATTCATATCCATGGCACCAGAACTAAAGCTTACTCATGATCAGCCACTTCAGGGCAGTGGGGCTTTTTTTTTTCCTAAGTTCACATCCTGCTTGAGTCAACTATCCATTTCTGTGGGTATAACCCAGTCATGAGAATGAAGCAGGAAAGGGCAGTGTTGTGGTATTATCAGGCTGCTCAAGCCAGTTGAGCCACTTGGAAAATCTGTTCTCTTTACATTCTTTGCTTTCTGAGAACTCTCCTCTGCAAACATTTATGGCCAGCTGGGCATCAGCTTTGCAGACATTTAGTGACTTTTTGCTACCCTCAGTCTTTTTTGCTACCTTTTTGCTACCCTTCAGTTGATGCTCTTTAGCTGATTCCTGAATACTGGCCAGGAACCTCTTCAACAGATCCTCCCATTATTTGCTGACTTTTACTCCGTAAGCTAAAGTCAGTAAGAAAAAGGGAGAAAATATGAGTCAGACACCTTTGTTCTATGTGTTACAGAGATGGTGAACATGGGTCTGGAACAATTCTGTGTTAGTAGAAAAGGTTGTATGTGTAAGAATATGAAAAAAGGGGACAGTTTGTAGTTTTATGATCTTGTATTATACAGTCCCTGAAAAACAATACAGAAACCATGTCTTCAGCCAGTGTCCAGCAATCAGTGTAATAGGGGACAGTCTTCTGCTGTGAATATTGCCTATACCTTTCCTAGAAAGCCAAAGAATCCTTCCACAGAGATGTCTCTGGTATGAATCTGAGCCAATTTGTAAAGTAGAGCATTACAAATTCCAGAGATAATTTTGTCAGATGTGCTTTAGATCTTTTAGATCTTTAAGACCGCTGTCTGGGTGTGCAAATAGATCCTGAAGGCAGTTTAACTACAGCAGGCAGGGGAAGAGTGTGGCTTCCACAGAGCAATACCCCAGGAGCATATTCCTATTTTTTCAGATTCCCAGCTTGTGTGGAGCCGTTGGGAGTGTATCTTCTATGTTGTTCAGCTACATCCTGGCTCCAAGCTACGCTTACAGGGAGCCAGCTCCAGCAGAGATGCTCCCTCACGTCTCCAAGCATCTCAAGGTGCAACTGCAATGAGCCATGAGTGCAAAAAACCCTTTGAAACGCTTTGTGTCCATGACTTGCATTTGTGACAAAGAATACCATGTTCTGTAGCTTCAAGACTAATGCCATGTTGTTGTAAGACCTAAATAATACAGCACAAGAAGTTTTTGTCATTAAGAGAGTTCAAGCAGCATAGCTATTGCCCTCTATCCATTTTTATGTCACTTAAGGCTCGTCAGCCTTTTTGTGCAGAAAAAAGAAAATACAGACTCTTCATGTCAAGGGGCTCTTAACTGTACAGTAGGTAATACCACAAAATAAGAAATTAAAGATGTAAAGGTCTGTCTTTTTAGCATAAAAATCTCGGGTTGTTTAAGCAAGATGTTGATGTTACAACAGAAGGCTTAGGGAGAAGTGTAGGGGAAACCCTTGAAATCAGTTCAGTTTTAATTAAAACAGAAACCCATCAGGTTGCTTAGTCTTATATTTTTCTAGCCTTCCTATTCACTGGAAGATTTGAAGTGCACATCTGTGTTGTCCTTGTCGGTATTATAAGCTGTCCTTGTAAATTAAACGGTGCTATTCTCCTCAGGGATAAATCTGAATTTCTCGGTTCATTTGGGTCTGAAAGGCAGCTTACTAAGCTTATTCTGCCATTGATGTCTCTCTTCTGTTGCTCTGCACAAAACAGGGTATATATTAATGATGCTGGCCCTGATCCTCAGTGTCCTTTTTGCTGGTGGTGGGACCAGAGGGGCAGACCCAGTGTGTGCTGAAATCACTGAACCCCTTTGATCCACTTCAAAACTCCCAAGTCTTTTTTATCTACGTGAGTGCTTGAACTAAGGAGACATAGCAAGTATATACTCATAATTAACACTGTCCATGAGGATTTAGATGGGGGTATGCAATTTATTCGCCTTTTAACTGTCCAATATCCGACATTTTGGTAAAGAAAGTGAGTAAATTACTTAGAGATGACTGATATCAAGCATTCTGTAGAGTGACAGATGCCAGAAGCAGTTGGCACCATTCTAAAATGGAGTGGAAGGAGAGCACTTGCATCTATGGACACCTGTTCCTATACACAGATCTCAGTAATAGTATTGCATCAAAAGATAAAACTGAGATCCCTGCAAGACTCTGCATCTCAAAACTCCCTTGCAAGTCTTCAGATTCAAAGCTCAAAAAATTTGTGTATGGCAGTCAAAAACCAGCACTGATTGAAAGGAACTGAATGTGAGAAGGCCAGTAACAGGCAAATACAACCTAGAAACAGCACTCAGAAATTTTAGGACCTGTTTTGTGGCCAGATGCAGCTGTGGTGGAATTACCTGTGAGATACATTCTCTCCCATCAAAAAGTGTAAACGTTGCAGGAGTTTGATTCTGATGCAGGAAAGTCTGTGACTGACCCTTAGCATCAGCTACACCATGTGTCCTCTTCAAAGGCTGCTTTGGCTAGTTTTTTAAATTGTTAAGTAGGTGAAAAAATTGTCATTATTGCTTTGTTATTGCTGTAGTTATTTCAATGAAGGCCAAAGGCTACTCTAAAAAACAATAAATGAAGATGAGGTTTATTTTCCTACTTGATCCTTAGAGTGATAAACAAATTTACATTGGCTTAATTGCAGACAAGCAAGCTGAACAAATTCTAAATCAGTCTGATGGATGGAGGTCAGTTACTCAGCCTCTCACGAGAATGAAAAACCTTTGGGGCCCTCATGAATTGGATACACCAAAACCTTGAAAATTATGAAGTCACCCGTGGAAATGCAGACCTCCTTAAGACAACACAAATACACTGTACAAATATTCCAGTGTTCCATTTTGCTTTGTAATCCTAGTGGAAGCAAATCAGCTGTGCTGTAACACGCTGCCACAGCCGGAATCTGTGCTGATGCTTAAACTGGACTCCCACCGTTATAAACACTGGTGAGCTTCTGGTCTGGCACTCTCTGCAACAAATTCTTTGGATCTCTCTGTGATCTCACCAGGTGCAAAATAGCCTGTAAATTATATGACTCAGAGGACAGTGTTAAATTCATCTTTTTACTCTATTGTCTTTGTAAGGAGAAGAATTTTGTGTCCTGTTGGTGCCTGAGAAGATTAAATTTACCCTTCAATTTTCTTGATTTTGTTGGTCGAGAAGAAGAAGAAAAGTAGGGATTAAATTTAATAATAATGGAGAAACTCTTGGTGCGATTTATAGGAGCTGGAAAGCTGTTCTACATGCTTTATATTTTGCCACCAAATGAAGCAACATGGGGTTCTATCCCCCACAGTTATAACTTAAGTATATATACCACATAGATGTAGAGATGACATTTTAAGCATTCAAACAGAGTCTGAAAAATGAGGGAACAGAAGATAAACTTCAAGCACAATGAAATCAGTGAGACCATGCACACTCATTTCAGAAGCATTTAGATCAACCAAAGACCAGCCTCACAAAAGCCTTTGGGCACCTTACCCATTTGTTAGTGTACACCCAGTAGACATAAATAGAAACAAGTTCTCTTCATTTTAATAAATAACAAAAGGCATTCTTCAGAAATGTTAAAACCATGTGTTTGTGCCCAATATTGAGGTATAAGCTGACAATGTCCCAGTAGCACTTTGGAGGTTATTTGTATAGATAATTCCTTTTCCAACTATGCACAGAAATAGCCCAGAAAATTTAGTCCTTCTGCATAAAAGTAAGAGTAGATTCTGAGAAATCCACTATCGCTCTAGGCAATTGTCTGAGGTGTCTTTTATTTTGCTATATGTATCTGTCCTCTTTTTTTGTAAGAAAATTATAATGATAAAAAAAAAATGTTCCTGTGCCCTTAAACATGTAATAGCAACAGCTCTTTGTTTTGAAAGAGAGATGATTGCATGGTTATAACAAAGAGAACAAAAGTCTATTCAACCCATGCATTGGTATGATAAAGCCTGCTGTAGCCAGCTTAATGAACCTTGGACACAATCAACTCTCACTTAGCAATACTATGTCTCAGATTTGAGTGTGTTAACAAGCGATGCAAAGTCAACAAGTTTAAATCTTTCCTGAAACAGTGCTTTCAGGCTCATAAATACCTGGTGAATGGAGTTTTGTGGCTGTTACTGCTGATTTCTTAGGGGATGAGACAGCTGGTCTGCTAGCATCCTGATCTTTTTGTACTTCTTTCTTCACACCTGTTTGAGAAAAAAAAAAAAAATCAAAGGTACAAGGACATCTGTTTTATAATTCTATTTGTAACTGTGCAGAACTGTGTCACTAAGATCCACATCAAAATGTATTTCACCAATACATATTCTGGCCTCTACACAGAATGATGCTACACAGCACTTCTAGGTTGGATGCCAGCCTGCCGTGTCTGCAACCATGGCTGTGTACATGTGGCTGAGCTGACATGCACAGCACTAAAGAAGGACACAAGAAGGCCTTACACACTACCTTGGCTTTCCAGACACCTGCACCATGAAAAATGCCATCAAGGCACAAATAGCTACACAGGTAACCCATCCTATCTGTTCTGAGTGCTGTGTTCTGTCTCTTTACCTTGCTGTGCAATCTCATTCTGGGCTGCTGGAGAAGTGGAATAGGACTGTGCAAAGCTGACTGAAATTACCTGCAAGTCCCTACCCTGCCACCTTTTCCAGAGGTAAGGAAGCTGCCTTTTCTGGAGACCGGCTTTCCCAAGATGAGTCAAGAGAGAGGCTAGAACCAGCAGCAGGCAGCCCGTGTCAGAGCTGTGCTGCATGTGGCTGCCAGGACACACGAGCGTGGCTCTCTGTGCAGTAAGGCAGGGTCAGGGCAAGCACACTCAGGGCACAGCCCTACAAGACACTGTGCCAGTGTGGGACGGAACAGGGCATGGAACATTTCCGAGAGAGGCAGCTCAGTGTCTGTTGTTATTTGTCCCACCGCTGGAGCTCCCTGGCCAGGGCCTTGGGACGGAATGCCAGCTGTCAGAGCTCTGCAGCTGGCAACTGCCTCTTGCACCAGGGAGATACGACTTCCTCTGAAAGCCAGAGTGGCCACCCAGGCTCAGCTCCTCCTGCCCACCCACAGCTCCCATCAAAATAGCTGTGGGGACCACGCTGAGAGCACTAACATGAGGTCCTGCCTTGCTTGTTTGACCATGGTGTGACAGTCACACACACAGGATTTCAAGCAGAAAACATTCATCAAAGAAGTAAGGAGAAGGAGCAATAAAAAGCAAAGCCCTGAGACAATAATGTATTTTTCTGTTTGCTTTTCTTTTTTTACCCATTAGTGTTTGTTGAGGGTTGCATTTTAGCCTGAAGGGCTGTCACAGCCCCTGGATACACAGGAAAACAGAGAGATTTAAGGCAAATGACTTGCTACAGAGGGAAATCAAAGTTTTCCTTATTGACTTTCCCCTCTCTTACCAGTATGTTCACAGACATTTTATAGGAAAATGTCGCACAGAAATATCTAAAGCAGGAAAACAAAATCAGATTTTCTTGGTGGTGCCTAATGACAGTGGCAGTCCAAAAGCTAACACTACCTTCCATCTTGCTTAATACAAATGTGACCTGGCTCTTTCAGCAGCGGAGAAAAATGATAATTTTATATGGGGATCATAATCCTCAGGGACATTTACTAGTTTACTAGTTTTCTGCTCCCTCCAAATCCACACCTAGTCACAGCTGCAGTATATAGGTTTATTTCTGATTAATCTTTCACCCTTCCACTTCTGTCTGTATCAGGACTTGCATGCAGAGATCTGCAGATGCAGCATTTGTCACACACCAGAAGCTGAGCTGCATAATTTCTAGCACTGCCTCTCAGCATTTGCTTGCAGAGTGCCTCTGGAAAGAGCACATGCACCTGCATGTCCAACTGTTTGTGGGAGGGAAGCATGGGACAAGTTCTAAAACCCTCTTTGATTCTTCCACTCTTCACAGGCAAATGACACCATCAGCTGCCAGGAGCTTGTAAAGATTGCACACTTGCTCACACCTTTACTTTTGTCCATTTTCTCTGCTCTCCATAAATACAACATGTTGAGGCTATGATTCTCATTTGTGATTAATACTTCTCACAGTGAAGTGACTGAAGATAGAAATTGCCCGTGCCTGCCCCCTATTACACTGCACTTTACTACAGAGTAAGACATAAAATAAGTTTATGGTGCCTTTTCATTACTAAGGGCCAGCCTGATATGGTAGCTGTGAGACAAAACCAGGGCTTGTTTTATAAGACATAGTTTATATAGTTACAGACTGAAGCATCACTTTTTCATGTTAATAAGGCTTTGGCTTTTCTGGGGCTTTCAAAATAAAAATATAATGCACAAATGGGCCATATACTGACCTCCTCCATAAATTTTGCTATGCCAGATGCCAAACATGGGCAACAGTAGAGAAAAGTGTGTGCTTTCCTTATGCCTTCCTTGGGCACATAAATAATTAACTACTTTTGGTTTTGAGACATTTTCAGTGAGGAACAGCTGGGGAATTCATTCAGTCCCTTGACCTTAAGAACAAAATGAGAATCAACTCCCTAGTTTGAGCTTGGTTGAAAGAAAACAGAGCAAAGAAGCCCAGAATTTAGCAGAGGGCAAGGCAGGGTCTGTGGAAAGCCTTAGGAGTTGTGTATGGGTGCTGCCCTGCAGGTACAGCTGCATGCAGGACATTGGCTCCACAAAGTGGAAAACCGGCAGAAAGAAGGTGCAAACAGATATCTGGGCAAGCAAAGACAAGTAGGACTAATACCAAGGAAGACTAGTGCCCTTGTTCAGTTTACAAGACTAGGAGAGCTCCCAAGGTCTGGTGGGGCAGCGGTGCAGCAAGCGGGCAGGGGAGGAGAGATTGTGCCGCAAGGGAAGCGCCAGCGCCCAGCACAGCCTTGCTGGGAAGGGGCCAGGGACACGTGGAGATAGCAATTATTCAACTTCTCCTTCATAAGTAGAAGGGCCCTGGTGGCCTCTCTGTGGCCCTTCTTAGAGGAGAGGGATTTAGAAAGCACACAGCAGGCAAGAGGAAGGACGGTCTGTGGGAACAAAGTGTTATCGTTTTGCTAAGCTCATCACCCACAGGGAAATTTTAGGGCAAGAGCCATCCCTGGCACCAGACCTCATATAAGAGCTTGAGCTGAATGCTTTTCTAAAAATGGGGCTTGTTCTTGTCTTCTGAAACAGCAGCTGTTAGATGGTTCAAAGAGAAACATTAGGAAAACATGTTGATTTCCTGCAGGGAAAATAAATCTTTAGATTACAAGTGTTTGGGCTCAGAATTTGTCGTTTCATAGAAAAATAGGATTTCAGGTTTAAAAAAAAATCTGAGGGAAAGCACTGGTGTAGTAATTAGCATAATGTGCAGTAGCACAGGATATGGTGCAGCAGGAGGTTGTAAAGTTTGATCTTTTCTAGCTTGAACTGTACTAAAAGTAATTCAAAGATTAAAACGCACAAAAAAATCTGATGCTCCAGGAAAACTCAGGAAACAAGACAAACATTTTTCAGTTGTTATTACAGGCCTGAACACATGTAAAACCTCAAATAGTTTTCTGTCATACATATTTTGAAATGTCAAAAGGTGTTATGTATGCAATCATAAAATAATAAAAAATACACAAAATTACAAAGGGAAATTAAGCAACATAAGTGCATATTTCTTGAACTTGCACACTTTTTTTCATGTTCTTCTAAATTTGTTATTTACAATGTATATTAAATCTGATCTGGAACAAAATTTACTTCAAATTCTTAATGTTATTGCCCACAGACCAGAAATATGGAATTCCAATTAGCTCTGTATTAAATGCCTGTACATTAGCTTTATTCCTGCTAGCTGCATAACCAGGGCTCTGAACTTCCCAGCAAAAAGCTCCTGACATCTCTGGAGCTACCATTAATTTCTAGGCTTCCTGGGACAGTTTCCAAGGCTCTCCCAACGCCTACCACTGACAGAGCTCATGCAATGACAAGTTTTGGTTCTGGTAGCCAGTAATCAAAGCCACAAAGTATTAATTTTTAGGTGAATCTACATTCCATTTTAGGTTAGAAATCTCTCAACATTTCCCCTCTTTTAAAAGCTGTACTTGTGTAAAGAAATATTTCAGGCCATAAGAGAACAATGAGCATAAATATTTGTTTGTATTTTCCACTGGTGTGCTTATAACATTTCCTTTTGAAAAAGGCCTCTAAACACACAGCTCTGTAAAGGTATTTACATTTCCTAATTAACATATACAGCCTGCTCCAAATGAAACAGAAGGAGCAAATGCAAAATAATTAGAAACACAAGGCAAAACATTCCAGAAATCACTTAGGAAAAGAGCAGACAAACAAAGCCACTTCTCCATTCCCCCAGGAGCGCTGACTGCTGGCCTAGGAAGCAGAGCAAAAGACACCTTATCCAAGACATCTCAAGCACTGCAGAATCAGCACTTGTATTTGTCTGTACCTTTTTGAGTCTTCAAAAGCCAGTATGCTGGGATAGGCTTCAATTTGCTTTCATGCTTCTGACTGAAAGCCTGCTAACAAGTTGTACATTGAGTATTTATCCCAAAACAAATCCTAACATGCTATAGACATCATTAACAATTCAATGGGACTGACTGCATTCAGAAGGATTCCAGCTGTTCTCAGGAGTATTTTACAAGTTAACTAATGCAGTCTGCAAGTTAACCAAGAAAACATCCAAGGAAATATCTTCAGTCACTCAGACACAGGGAGCCCCTTTGAGCTTTCTTCTGCCTTTTCCCCTGATACCCATGACTAGTCATGTCCTTGGTGAGTAATGACGCATCCCTGCATGCATTGTTTGAGACAAAATGAGCAAAGCTGGAAATATGATGGATTCTGTAGAATGAGAGCAGTCTAATTCTCTCTAGAGACTCTCTACTTCCTGTGATCTATGAGACACTGAAAGACTGAATAAATAAGTAGATGTAGAAGAAAGACTACGTATTTCTTGAAGTAGAAACTGCTAATGCTTGTGCTTTTCCCTTTGTGTTTGTTTCAAATTTAAAGTCAATCTGATAAGAAAGAAAGGACAACAATTATTTCATGGTCTTGTCTGGAAACAGTTGCCTTGTTCTTGTATTAAAAAAGAAAAGTCTCTTTAGCTGGTGTTTAAAAAAATAAAGTGAAAAATAAACCTGATAAAATGTGTCATTTTTTTGACTTAACAGAAAATCTCAGGGTGATTCAGAACATCCAACGTTAATTGCAGAGTTAAAACAACTACTCCTCTTTCTGCCATTTTGCATGGATCCTATGGCATTTTATTGTCTCTTCCTCACACAATTGTACTATGGCATGTTTAAGAGTGGTTCCCAGAAGAAAGACAGGAAAACTTGCAGATGAACTCCCACCTTCACTTGTAAGGTAGTGCTGCATATCCCTGTGTTCAGTACAGGAACAATATGAATGTAACCCACTGCACACTGCTGCTCAGCTTTGAAGGGAAAGTGTTTGCAAGGGGGAACAAAGCAGCAGCAGACTCTTCTCCCTTCATCCCTGCAGTGCTGGGGCTCACTCCTCCCCCCTCAGGTGCCCTCAGCTCACCCCTCTCCTTCCTGCTGACATTGTGCTGTCTGGATTTTGCAGCATCTGATCAAAAAAAGCACATTTTACACTATAAGATTGCTGGTGAGAGCTGAGATAACACTGGCTTCCCATTTTTCATCTTGACTGATTGCATTTAACAGTCTGTCCTGTTATATATGATTTACTGGTACTTTTAGAAGCAAAAGAATTGACCAGGTGAATTTTTTGAACAATATTTTTGATTGTCTTTAATTTAGGGGGCCAAGTAGGAACAAGCTGCTCAAATGAATACCTTATTGCCACTGTCATTGCACTCAAATTAGGATATTTCTTATGGATGACAACAGTCATTAAATAATAACCAAGTAGACACTGGAATCCCCCAACACACACCCCTCAAAATCCATAACAGGGCATAGAAAATATAAAATCCCACAGCTCTCTGATTTCATAGAGAGTTTGGTGGCAGATCCTGCCTGGCAGACAGAACTAAGTCTTTGAATAGTGCCTTCTGCAGATATTCCTCCATTTTAAGGGAAATTTAAACCAGAAAATTAATATATGTATGTTTCAAGTACTATATCTTTTAATCAACATCTGTGGAAAGAGGAAGCTTATATGAATTTCAGAGCTAGATTGTAGTTGCAAAGTTCCTGATGGAGAAGTGCTTTCGTTAAACAAAATATGAAGCAATATAGAAATGGCAAGTTTTAGTTAGGTTATCACTGTACTTCCCAAAGTAGCTAATGCATTTAATTGAAATTGAAAGACCCCTCTTTTTCTAGTCAAGTAAATGCTTTCTTTTTCCTCTTCTATAAACTGACAGACATGTAAATATGAAAAGGGCTGTGCAATGCACTGAAACCTAATCAAGTGCACTGTTTTCACAGACCAGTTGAAAGGCCATCAGTTCATGTCTGCAAAACAATTTGCATGACAACAATCTTCCACTGCTATTGTCCCATGCCAGAATTCTTTTTTGATCATCTGAAGCACAGCATCATCCGCTGCACAACAGAAGCTAAAGGAGTCCATTTTCATTAATTAAATATTTTTTTATTCCCTGCAGTCCAATTTATTTCAGAAGCACTTTTATTGAAATATCAGGAATATAATCTCTCTTAAGCAGTTGTGTCTATGTTTTTTTTAAGTGAAAATTTACAGTTTTCTCAAGTGAAAATTACAGGTCTTCTCAAGTGACATCTAATGCAAGAAAGCTTTCATGTGATTTTTGATTTTGATGGCTATTTTTGATTCATTAATATAGGTATACTTTTTCATTTGTGAATTAATTTACTGTTCATACATAGATAAAATTATGTACATCCCTGAAATACTAATGCAACTTTTATATTACCTGATATTGCACTCTTTCAGAAATGCTATTTAGATTTAAATTACTGCCATCTTCTTTGTGAAGTACTTTCCTTCTTCCTTTCATAAAATATGCTGTATGCAATACACATAGTGCCTGTGCTCCTCAGCTGTAACTCTGGAGTGCTCTAAGCACTTCAGTTTAGTAACTGCAATGTCTTGCACAGGAGGTTGGTCAGATGCTAAATATATATGCCACATCAAGCCTATAGAAATCACTCTCCAAAGGATAACTAAACAGAAAAGTTTACGTTCTGTAGGTGTCTCTATCACATTGGGATCTGCACCCAGTGTTCATATGCTGTTGAAAGAAAGGCAAGATTAGAACTGCTAAAAACACCTTGTCTTCATAATTTCTCTGATTTATTTCAACCTTTGCTCCTATAAAATACTTAGCATTTTGAGGAACCATGACACTGTTTTATTAAAAAAATAAAAAATTTAAAAAAATCATAAATTGGCCACAGATATATGCTGCTAATTTGGCTCATAAAAAAAATTAAACCAGAACATTGGACCAACATAGTTTTTTTTTGCTTCTGTCTGTTGTGTATAATAACAACTTCCTAACCTTGTCAGGTGTCCCTGTTCAGGAACTGTCTGATTGTTTGCATAACACAGGCAGGTAATCCTACTTCCATGTTTACTTTCCTTCCAGAATAAAACAGGCAAATTTATGACATGGTAACTGCTGAGCTATCCCTTCATCCTTATCTTGACTCAAGAGCCTTTTACTGTATTTATCTCCCTCTGTGTGGTTGGTTTGGTGGGTACCTGGTGTCCAGCCAAGGTCAAACCACTACAACAGGTAAATCTGTCTTGAAACCAGGTGATAAGAACTAGCAATTCATAATGTCTTTGTCTCATATTTTGCACTGATTTTTCCTTCCCAGCTCCATTTGCAATGTGTTATCAAACCAAATGGAACTTACACAGAGATGAAACACTTTTGAGTAAGAGCCAGCCTGGATAAAATTATTTATTTTGGAATCTGAACTTGATGGAACTGGTCATTTGAGACATAACTGAATTGAGCAGAAGGAGAGTTCAGGCAAGGAAACAATTTAGAAACAAGGCTAAGGGGTTTTTGCTTTGTTTGTCTGCCTCCTTCTGCCTCTCTGAGTGAAAAAAAAAAAGATTACTCACACCTAGAGGCCAATATTCTCATCACTGCAAACATACCTAGCAATGAATTATCTGCTCAATGGAACGTTTTGGTCTCTAAAGGAATGCAGTATTTTCAAATAGCTGCTTGTTGAGAACCAACAATATATACACTAAATGTCTGGCATGTGTAGTTAGGGACAGTAAATGCCTTCAATTCTACACATAACTCACAAAATGAGATTATAGCTGTGTTGTTGACTGTGTTACAAAGAGTCTGCAGTAAATACAGATCTATGAGCCAAATCAGCACACCGGCAATGGGCCCAAGGATGGCAGGAAAATTAATTAAAAGCAAGAAGTAAAGCAGCATCCCAGCAAGGTTTCTGCATTTCTTGGCTTAATGCAGGTGGTGTTTTAAGTCTGGAGCACTTACCAGCAGGTGCTGCGGCAGTTTTTGGTGCTGGCAGTAAGCTCCTGCGTGGAGTCGCTGTGCTGCTCGATACCTGTGTCGTGCTTTTGCTGCTCCCCTTGGGAGCATCCTTAGAAGGTGCAGATGCCCTAGGGGTGGGCTGATCTTCATTTCCGAAGCTGGAACCTGCAGGAGACCAGAATTGCACTAATTACAAGTCCATAAAAAATGTATGTGAACTGTGGCATACAGACCAAACTTCTATCAGCAATTATAATCTACAGTGACACGTTCTCACTGCAGCTTGGGCTAAGTTACACGGACTGTCTCCAGTATAAACCCTCAGGTAAAAATAAAGAGTTCCCAAAGACTTAAATGCTAAGTCTTGGCAGCTGTTACAGTCTGATTTCAACAGGAAATTATGACTTTCTCTATGTCTACCTCTATGCAGGTATGTGGCTACAACACTCATAAAGAAACCAAGGGATTCCTAAATATAAGGGTGGATGAGTTTATGGTTTTGTAGCTGCTAGAGGAGTCACAACACACATTCACCCTATCACTTGGAAGCTGCTGGTGTCTGAAATGGAGGGGAATAGCAGGGCTCAGTGGTGCAAAGTTTCAAATTCCCCTCTCAGGTGGAGATTTCCCACAAAGAGTCCCTCAGATCACACTCAGACATTTGAATAATAAGATAAAAAACAGAGGAAAAATTCTGCCTGAACTCTACATCCACTTCAGTCATATTCTCATACCAAATATTAGGTTGCCAAGTGTTTCACCTTATATTAACCTCTTTCAAAACTTTTATTTGGTTTGCTTTCCTCCTGCATTTACCATCTAGGGAAAAATGACATCCTAGGTTCCTTGTAGACATAAGGAAAACAATATTTTCTTAACATTTGAGAAAGGCAAAGTTGGAGTGTTCTTTTTACCTATCTGTCTACAAGGCCTAAGAGGAGCAAAAGATCTGGACTTGAACATTTGCAGAAGAATGAACGTTTTGATTGAAAAAACGAGTGGAGATAGTGCAAGAAATACAAAGGATGTCAAAAAAGGCCTATAATCTTTATTTCAATTGTTTTACAAAGATACAATATAATATTGGTTAGGTACTGCCTGCAGGAAAACGATAGCATTATCTTAATAATTGGCATGTCCGAGTCCACAGTATTTTTAAGACATAGGCTTCTTGAAAGTACACAAGTAAAGATTACATTTTTCCCTTTATTACTGAAAATTTACTAGGAAAAAAAAAAAAAAGCAAGTTGGAGAAGAAAATCTTCTTTCTGATAAAGGAAAAATATACCTTTTGGCTCTGAGAAAACAGCTTTAAGTTTTTCTGTGTCTTTGAGGCTGCTTGCGTATAATTCTTAATTTAAAGTGTGTATCTGCAGTATAAATGGACTTCTACAAACATATTTGACCTTTCCCAAGCCACATTAAAAACTCAAAACAGTGTAGTGTACTCTATACAGGAATAGAAAGACCTGAAGCATTTGTCACCTTTACACAGCTCTGCACATAACAACCCCTCAGCACATCAGGTCGGTGTTGCATATCCAAACTACATGGATTTTTCACCTGTGTAACAAACATTTAAATTTATGTGTTGAATTAACTGTGACAAAACACTGCTGGCTTCCATAAAGTCACAACAGCAGAAAATCTGGCCCAACCTAGCCCAATCTCCTCTGCAGCTGTGCACGACGGCACCTCTTGCACCAGGTGCCGGGGGGATGCTGCAGCACGTGTGTCCACCTCAGGCTGTCTGCACCACGCTCCTGAGGCTATTCCTGAAGTGGCCTCATATGTATGCTTACTCAGGCACTTTGGGGAACACCACTTGTAGAAAATATATTTTTTTCCTTCAGCTGTTTTTAAGTTTCCATTGCAGAAGCACTAACCTTGAAGAGTAAATTTTTCTCATTATTTGCAGAGAAATAGAGTTCAAGTGTTCTTTAATGGAAACCCTTTATTCTTATTTTCAACATTCATTCTCTGCCCTACAGTGAGTGGTGAGGGAAGAAGTGTGAGGCTGAGAGGGAGCAGGTGCTCCCTGCAGAACAGGGAGAAGACCATGGGGAAGCAGGTATTTAATCCCTGCTTCCCCATGGTGGAGCAGATATTCACACTGCAGTCCATGGAGAACTCCACACAGGAAGACAGGTGGACATGGCCCAAAGGAAGCTGCATCCATGGAGAGCCCTCCCAGGAGCAGGGCCCTGGAAGAAGCTGTGGGCCTGGACATGAGAACCACGCTGTATCAGTTTTATCCTGAGGGAGAGCAGCCCTGGGTAAAGATCCATGCAGGAGCAGGAAGAAGTGTGAGATGGAAGAAATGGCAGAGAGGAGCTGTAATGGACTGACTGCAACCCCCATTCTCCTCCCGCTGTGCTGCTCAATGGGGATATGGGATGGAGGAGGTAGAGGAATTGGGAAGGAGGAAGTGAAGTTGAGACTGGAAAAAAGTGGTGGGGGAAAGCTATTTTAGTTGTTCATTTTGTTTTACACCTTTCAACTCTATTTTAATTGTCAATACATTAAATAATTTTTTCCAAGTCAATTTTTTTTCCCTGTGACAGCAGCTGGTAAGTGATCTCCATGTCTTTGTCTCTACCTGTGGTCTTACCTTATTTTTTTTCCTGTCCTGTACAGGAGGTGAGATAGTGAGACTCACTATCAGGCAGGGTGGGTGCCTGGCAGCCAGCCAAGGTCGACTCACCACAACAGCAATATCAATACACTTAGGATTTGCTGAGATAAGGTCAATGTTTAACTTAAGAGACATTGTCCCCACTTTTCACTCACAATAGATGGAAATTGGAAAGAGACAGAGGGAAACAACAACACATGTGTGTATAACATGCTCCAACAAGCATTGTTGCTTCCATGGATATCACTAGGGCAGCATCCAGTTCCCTAGGAGCAGAGGTAGGTGAGTTTCACCTTGCTGCACATAGTGCTGGATTCCAGAGTTCAGATAGCATTCAAAGAAGTAATTAAATTAAAGACTTAGGAAAATGCCTATTTCTCATGATCTAGGAGGAAAAGAAAGGTTTTAATTTACTTTAAGGAATAAACTTAAAGGAAAATCAGAAAGATGATTCATCAGATGGTCCATCTGTTAGTCCCTCATGAAATAATGCCTCCCACTATTATCTGCAACAGGTGAATCAGTAGCTTCTGCCCTTCCATGATACCACCTCTTATTTCTCAGTAAAAGCCTGTAGAGAAACACAAGATGCGCAGTGGGTGAACAGTTTCCAGGTGACCACATCTTTTGTTGTATTGTACTTCTTCTCTCCTACTCTACTCTGGCATTCTGTCTAAGCCAGGGGAGACTCTGCTTGCCTTTGAAGCACCTGGTGAGTTGTCTGGGGGCTGCTACATAAAAGGCCTTGCATTTTTGCAGATTCTGTGCTCTGTGAGGAGCAGCACTGCTGAATTTGCAGTAGAGCATTCTGCTGGGGCTAAAGGCCTTCAGTCTCACTTTTATCATCTCACTATAAGCCCCAAGGAATCCTACTCTTCTGCTTCTGAAAATAAAAAAAATACCAAAAAGAAGAATATTCCTTTGAAGACTTGCAGTTACTTTGGAAAGTCCCAGCTGCAGCCACTCTTCCCCTACATTTGTTTGCCAGTAGACACTGAGAAATTAGGGCTGGGAACAAATTGTGGGCTGCATATTTGAAGAAAACCATCACCAAAAGCCCACTTGCTCCTAGATGTCTTTGAACCACTCTTTCTCAATATCTGTTACCACTCTTTTTTACCATCTGGCTGAAGCTCATTTCTGGGGCACCTCACCCTCAGAAAAGAAGGGCTCTCTTGTATGTGCCACTACAAGTTTGTGCCTCTTGTTCCTTTTCTGAAATTATTTACAAATATTTATAAAAAAGGACAGAAATAACATATGATAATATATATAACTGTAGAACTAGCAGGAATGTGAATGGGGAGAATTCTGCATTTGATGAGAAATTAATTAGGCCGTGTTGTGTGGCAGGCCTTGATCTGAGAGGAGACAATGATAGGAAGGGCTGTGTTCTGGAACCCCACAGCTACAGATTTCCCTGTCTGCAATCAAGGGCAATAAAGTCTCCTTTTGTTGGAGAATTTGCATCGTTTGACAATGCCTACAGGTCTTGCTGACAAACAAACTGCAGAGGAGTGTTAGAGCATGAGTGTGGCTCCCTGTCCTGCGGGCTGCTGCGTGCAGCCTATGACACTCGTAGACATGGAGTGAGTTTCCAGCTCTTCACAGCAGGTCAAGCATTCCCTGTGCTGGCAGGAGGCTTGGAGCTGAGAGCTCCTGCCACAGCTGTAATCGCACGCAAGACACTGGGAACGTGCTGGCATCATGCATGTTCAGTGAAGGACCAGCATTTACCCAGGGTTATAGGAAAGCCTTTCCAATATTAAGATCTTTGGACACTACTCGATGCCGAGTTAATGACAAGGAAGTTACACCTAGTTATTGCATCAGTGATCCCACTTGGCAATTCCAAATCACTTCCCAGTCACAGAACTGAAGAAACTTTAAAAAAGGATTTGAGCCACTGTCCAAATCTCACAGCAAAGAAACAGCAGAGACAGAGAAGTGAGCAGAAAACCTGATGATAAATGAGGCCGAGATGACTTTTTTTCACCTGCAAAACACTGGGATGTATTATTCCTCTGGGTTTTACTAGGCTGCACTTTTGTGCCCCAGTTTTCAAGCAGAAGTACAAGCACAAAGTGAAATTAAAGCCACTGCCATGGGGAATGATCTGATAAGAAAAATACCTAAACTGCTGGAAATAATCAGGTGACGTTTAAAACCAAAACCTGCAAGACACACTTTTCACTAACTTGGGACATTTTCTCATCCTTCAAGAAATTCCCATTCTTTATTCCTGATTGTTACTTGTGAAGTGGTAAGCAAATTTTATAGGATGATTACCAGATAGACAACCTGTCAAATGAGATTTTTATTTCACTACTTTAAGGGCTGCTGTTTTGAAGTCCAGCATGGTATATTTCAATATGAGGTTTCACAGTGTAATTTTCAAGAGACACCATTGAACATACAGTTGAGCTCTGTAGCTCAAGCTGAAACTAAGCTATGGACCAAGAGGGACGGTGTGATCATGAGGGCTAACCATGTTATTAAGATGTTTTGATAGTACATAAGATTACTAGTT